ATATGTATAGATTTAAATCAAACTAACCTAAGCAATATAATTGGTATTTAATTGCAATCGAAAAAACAATACGTAATAATGTATGATGCTTTTGTATACCCACATTATTTTATTCGATGAATTTATTTACTACTAGCGACTTTCCCTCGTTTCGCTCGGGTTCGTCTCTTGATACGATTTTCATTTTTTTTGAACAGGACATTAATTCTTATTCTAAAATGAAAGTAGCCTTAGTTTACTTCTTATAACATCAGCTATCTGCCAGTGATAGTTACGTCAAAATCAATCCAGCCGTTTCAGAGATTAGCCAAAACAAATGGACAGAAAGATAGACAGACATTTTTTTTTTAAATTGTTTTTTTTTATAAGTACCGTACTTACGTAGTACGTAATTACAAACAGGCACTTCAATTTTATTTATCTGTATTAAAATGCATTTTTTTTCTCAAATACTTTGTATTTTGTTTTTTGAGAAATAATTTCTTAAGCTGTATACATTTTTTGTATGCTACGCTATATTTTTTTCAGAGAACCACCTTACATATTTTTTTAATAAAATTTCAAACATGGACAGCATATAAATTGCAAAAAAAAAATTCCCCCTTGGGGTGTAAAAATAATTCCTTTTGGATTGATATGAAGTCGTTGCACCTTTTTAGTTTATTTTGATTGATTATGATAAAACCTTAGAGCAGTAATACACGTTTTGATAAATATTGTTAATACATATGTCGATCAATACAGATAAGTGAATCATTGCTATGCTTGCGTATTTCTTTTTTGGCTGACAACCACTAAATAATGAATATATTATTAAATATAAAGCAAAATAGAAGCAAATAAATAATTGAAACTTAATTGTTTCTAATAATCTAGATAAATATTATCTGAATAATGAGTCAAATAATTACTTATGTTTAGAACGTAATTTGTATTATTATTTTTTAATATTATAAATGTGATAGTTTGTGAGTATGTATGGATGTTTGTTACTCATTCACGCCAGAACGGCTGAACGGATCTGGATAAAATTTGGCACAGAGATAGATTATAGTCTGGAATAACACATAGACTACTTTTTATCCCGGAAAAATATACAGTTCCTGTGGGATAAGTTTGTTATTTTTTGTCAGAAGCGAAACCGAGTGAAGCGAGGGTGAGCCGCTAGTATGCTATAATGCATACAGTTTCCATTTCTTTTTGATTAAAGTTAATAATATTGCGGCAAGTTTTTACAAATATAAATTAATATTAGTATAGACTAATATTATAAAGAAGCAAGCAGAGTTTATTTGTTTGTTTAAATGCGCTAATCTCAGGAACTACTAATCTGATTTAGAAAATTCTTTTTGACAGTCCATCTATTGAAAAAGGCTATAAGCTATAATAATATCATATAATATTTAGTTTATCTATTTCATACTAACCGTTAAAACGCACCAAGGGACGAACCCGAGCGTAGCGAGGGTGATTCGCTAGTATACAAAAGGAACAGTTTGGTTTTTCTTTTCTTTAAGCACCCTTATCTCTATAAGGTAATTACAATTAAAAAATACTGCCTTTTATAGCTTATTTATTGAGAAAGGTTATGGGTTGTCTAGCTACGAACATTAGCAGAAATTATAACCAACGAGCTCTAAAAAGTCCTTTAAATAAATACATTTTTAAATGGTTATTATAACCAAACTATACATTAACTAGATGAATATACGGAAACACGTTGATAAATATAGTATCATCAAATATCACAACGATCACATAATATAAAGCAATAAAGGAAACAAGTGCTGTAACAGATGCTCGAACAATAATGACGCGAAAATATCCTTGTTGGTAACAATCCTTCAGATCGGGATAATATGTGATATGTTGGAAATCGTTTGTTTTTCTACACGATTATCTTTTGGTTGAACAAGATAAAATATTATGTCAACAACAGCTTATTATAGTAACTATTATATCTATACATATAATGAAACTGTAGAGGTCGAATGTCTGTACAAAGAAAAAAATGCTTAAAGATTTTTTTCATTTTTTTTTGTTTCTCTGTCTGTTTGTGTGTTTGTTTGTTTGTACGGCTAATCTCCGAAACTGTTGGACTGATTTAAAAGAAATTTTGCATAGTCGTACTAAGGTACCGTAAAATTATCGAAAATGTTGGGTACTTTTATGATGTAAGGCATATAAGTATCCCCGGTCAACATTTGAGAAACTTTTACGATACCTTTTTATCCCGGAAAATTAAAGAGTTCCCATGGGATATTGCAAAAGACTATAGTAACTTATACAGCTTAGTGCACAAAAACTACTGATTGGATTTTAATGAATCTTTACAATCATACAGTTCATACATCAGAATAACAAATATGCTACTTTTTATCCCAGAAAAATGTACGGTTCCCATGAGAAAGATTTGCTTCTGTTTGTCTAGAGGCGAACCCGACCGAAGCGAGGGTGAGCTGCTAGTATATAGTAAGTATTTGTATGAATTTGAATTACTATGTATACTCAAAGATCCTAATATTTAATTGTTAAAAATTCTTTAGTCTATTTTATACATTTTAATTAAAAATAAAAATTTCGGAATAAAATTCCTTGCAAAAAACACTACAGTATAAATAAAATAACAAATGCCAGTATGCTATCGAAAACATCCAATATCCGGTATCACAAAACGTAATAATTATTCCATTCGACCCACTAACAGTAACATACAAGGCAAGATCATTAATTTAAGCCAAGCGAGTTTCATATACGCTAATGTGTCACAGGTGTCATTCACATCCCGCACGATTTCAACCCCTAATTGCGCCTTGTTTATGAGAACAAATTAATGTTACACAATAACCTCCATTGGTAATTAAATACTGTCGTAAAGTATAAAGGATTTACTAACAAGTAGTTATTAATATATTATACTTAGTAGTGACTTAACGTTGCTTTTGGTTTATTTACATATATATATTTTCTCTGAAATGGTTTGTCTTGATTTGGGCTAGATCTATGTAATTATCTATAAACCCTTTGTGTTCATAAAAAAACATAAAAATGAATAAGTATTCTATATAAATAAAAATGAATGTTGCTAAGCGTAAAATTCGAGAACGGCTCGACCAATTCAGGTAATTATTTTCTTCGTATGCTCCGTAAGGTACACGGAAAGTTTTAATAAAGAGATAAATATAAAAAAACTATACAATATACGTATATACGTATAATAAAATAGTAGCAAAGCGAAATATGTACATAAGTTATATTTAAAAAAAAAACTTTTTATCAAAAAATAAAAACCGGCTTCAAAAAAAGCGCTAAAAGGTAAAAAATAACTGATTGGTAGTTTTCATTTACTATACATATCTAATTAAATATTTTCGAAGTCGGTATGCTTTGCTTTGTATCGGCTGGCACCAGGCATCAGGAAACTATGATGGTTGATTCCCCATACAAATTTTAATCCCTATTTTCACTCCCTTATTTTTTTATTTTGATTTCCGGAATAAAGAATATCCTATGTCCTTTCCAGGGTCTCAAACTATCTTCTTACAAAATTTCATCTAAATCGGTCCAGTAGTTTTTAACTTTATTTCTTACAAGCATACAAAAATACAAATCTTTCCTCTTTATAATAGTAGTGTAGACGTTTTGTTTCAAATCGGACTACTAATTTCAGAGATTAGCACGTTTAAATAAACAAAGTTTTCAGCTTTATATAATTTAATTATATAAACAAAAATTATATTTTAATTACAGTATTTAGAGTACAATTATACGAAATAACTATACTTCCTTATTTCTATATATAACTTTTTTATTTCACATTCTGTTAAAACTCACACAAAGATTTGTGAGCCATTCATAAGAAAAACTATTGGCCCATTAACCCACTTATAATCATAGCTTTTCATCTGTACAAAACAAAACGAGCGGCTCTTCGACGCAATTACCGAAGTCATTACACTGTTAATTCGATGCCTTTTAAAGAGTTCCTAATAAAGCTTGTGAATATCATCGGAAGGGGCAGAACTCGTTAGAGACGCTTTACCAAAAACTTTTCGGCAGAATGTGGGCAACCAAAATGCTGATAACGGAAAACTTGACGTTCTACGTGATCCTTTTGACACAACTTTTTCATTGTACTCACACTTTCTTAACGTTTCATCCTTTTTCATTTTAACTGTCTATCGAATACTAGATAAAGTGTTGAGGGAACAATTTGGTTCGATATGTGTTCTATGTCTTGTGATTATGGAGTATCGAAGAGCTTCTTCTTGGAATTATTCTCTAACATTAAATATAATAATATATAGAATGTATGATTAACTTAATTAATATTAATGTAAAAAATAACTATTATTATGTATGATGATAATAAGCTATAAGTTATATCGTCAGTATAAAGAAAAATTTACGTCATTTAGCAAAAATACAGTCTCCAATCAGCTAATTGGAAATTATATCGTACAATACCATTAAAGCAAAGCAAATTCTTTTGCATTTGTGGTATCATCTTATCAGGTTTACAGAAAGATTATTATTAATCTCGAAAGGAATTAAGAATAATTAATTATGATAATGACATTAATCCGTGTTGTTATGGTCGTTAATTTTGGTCTATTTTGAGTAAGCCAACAAGTGTCTCCAATTCTTATCTATACTAATATTATAAAAAGGTAAAGTTTGTGAGTTCGTGAATTGTGAGCTTGTGACGTTGTAGGGGGTAATATCTGGATCTACCAAACCAATTTAGATAAAATTTGGTAAGAAGATAGTTTGAGACCCTGGGAGGACATAGGATAGTTTTTATCCCCGAAATCATCCCTCAAGGGGGTGAAAATGGGCATGAAAGTTTGTATGGGGAAACTACCTAGGGATGAATCCGAGCGAAGCGAGGCTGAGTCGCTAGTCTTATATAAAATCACAGCTTAACAATTTTATTTTCACTTTAACTATAATTTTCACAAAAATTATAGATATTAGATATGTTCTCTAATTATAAATCAATACATTTCTTCTATAGAAGGCATTATTTGTTCAGGAAGTTGAGAACTGTCGATTTGGCGTTTCCTAAATGTCGGTGCAATTACTGTCGTTTTCTTATTGGACACATTCTTTTGTCTTTTATTTCGTTCCTTCTTATTATTCTTATTTATTTTTCTCTTCGTAGCTGTTAAAATTAAATCAGCATCCGGTGATTCGCAAGGAAAATGCTTTTGAATGCTATAAACTTGACAAGTTGTTATGGAATTATTTGCATTTTGGACATCAAACTTAGTATTTGTTTCTTTCACTTTTAATGCATATACTTTATCATTATTATTATATTTAATAATTGATACTGATTTGTTTTTTTTATACTTTATTTTTTTTGATTTCTTATCTAAATTACTTTGAGTATTAACTGCAATAGCGTTTCTCTTATCTCGTATCTTATCATCTTTTAAATCCAATGGATTTTGATGATTCCCTTGAATTTGCATGTTTAGCATACTATGTGATTTAATTGCCCGCTCCATGCAATTATAACAACTTTTACAAATGGGACCTTCGAAAAGATTTTGTACATCACTCAATTTAGACTTTGAAGAGACTTTAATCAAATCGAACACAGTATTTTTTTGTAATAAAGATTTAATAAACGTAGAATTATTAAATGCGTTATCATATAATGTTTGAACATCCAAATTACCTGTAAATGAAAGCTTCATAAATTTATGCTCGAATACCTAATATTATGAATTGAGCTATTAAAAAGTTTTAAATAAAAAATATGGCCCATAAATAGTAAATCAATAGTGTCAGAAAAAGCAGCAAAGCATTTACAAAAAAATAAACCAAGAGTAAATCGACTTAAGGATCTCACCTAACGCTTGCGGCATAAGCACTGCTAGCGTACAGAATAACACTGAACTCATTAGTTCCATTTGCGCCGCCCTCACTCAGAAGGTGTCTTCACTGCAGTTGACAATCTCCTTAAAATAGTAAACTAACAAGCGTTTCGTTACAGCGTGAGGAAGTTTTACGAAACGCACACTGTTGCTCACGCCGTCTTGCCTTTTGAACTATAGCTACAGCCCCCGTTAAATGTGCAAAGCACTCTTATTCTTACTTTTAAGAAAACGTTTACGTTCAAAAAAATTTGTCCTCAAACTACTTAAAAAAAGAATTATTCAGAAAATCCAGGTTTTAAATTAACATAAACGGTTTTTGTATAAGCATTGCGAGAATACTGGCGTATCAGGTCATATGCTGTCTTATATAGCTGCGAATTGTAACCGATGAAGCACGTATTATTCGGAATGTTTACCAGAGCCAAGGTGTTTACATGGGAACCTCGATTCGACAATCGAATGTTTGGCTTCCTCCAGTCTCCACTTCGAACCATTGTGACCGTGTTTATATGTTTATGTTACGTGAGCGGTAATAAGACAGTTGCAGCAGTGCAATAACGACTTTGTGACAAAACCGCAACCTATTAAACTATTATAAAGTTAAACAAATAACTTTAACTGTATTTATTACAATTTTTCGTGAAAAAGAAAGTGTTTTTACGAAAATATTCAAGCGAATAAATCTATTAATATATACTAATATTATAAAGAGGCAGAGTTTTTTTTTGAATGCGCTAATCTCAGGAACTTTTGAATTTTTATTTCTTTTAGCGTGTTATGAAAAATGAAAAATGAATGATGAGAGTAATCCTTTACGGTACGACAGATTTAGGCTATAGTATGAAGTTAGTCATTATTGACTGCAGTATGAAGTTAGTCCCGGTGTCTGTCTGTAATCAAATCTTGCAAGTTAAATTTGATCCACTTTCCATATGTCATTAATGCACTCCCATGATGTAGATATCAAATGAAAAGGTTTCATGAGCGAAACACAATAATCAGTGATGTCATTGTAAATCCAATATGGCGGACCCCCAAACATTGAGAACTGTTTTTTATGTACCCCCATAATATGGATATCAAATCTAAATGAGTTTGCTGAGAAGAAGAATACAAAAAAAAAGTAAAAAACAAAGAAAAAAGTTAAAAAATTTAAAACAAACAAGCTTTTATTTAAATACTCAAAAAACAAAGAAATATAACTTCTTATGTGCGTACATAAGTACACACACACTTTTTTTGTAGATTTAGCGCAAGCGAAGCCACGGCTTCTGCTAGATTTCTTATAAAACATCTCTTAGAAACGTAATTAAGCACCAAAGCGTACAATTTTCTTTTTCATAACTGATATTTTTACTTACAAAGATATTACGATTTTATGACGGAATCGTACTTTTAGTTTATTTGCAGATTTTCCATTTTTATTACAAAATTTCACTAAAGAATAGATGAAAATAAATAAAAAGATATTTCGTAAGATCTAAAATTTGCAAATGAATTTGTCTGTTCGGAGACTTACAGTTGTAGAGTTTTACTTAACAAGATGCGGTAAATATATATATATATATATATATATATATATATATATATATATATATATATATATATATATATATATATATATAATTAAATTGATTTAGTCAATGATTTATTTTTTGTTTCAATTCATTATCTTAAATAGTAATAATCAAATAACCGTATTAAATAAAAAATTAATGTTCTTTAAACAACGGACCTTCTTACCTAATTTTGTTTTAACCCACCATTGTAATAAAAACGTGTTTTTTTCCTGGACCCTAATGAATTGAATTATCCAATACAACAGGGATTCTTTGTAAAATTATATACCTTATATTCTCCAAAGCTTTTCTAGACAAGTAATTTATTATTAAAATCTTCCCCTTGTGCAAGACCGCGGTGTGTTTAAACTTAATTCTTGCATAATTCCCTTAGCACTACTCGAGTTATATTACTAAACTAGCATTGCCCGCGGCTCCGCCCGCGTTCAGATGACCAAAAACCAAATTCTTAGGTTTTACATATTAGTATACTCTTACATTACAGTTTTTGTATTTTTTCTCAGAAATAAAACATTTTTACGCGGTAAAAAGTATCCTTTAAGTTGACCCGGATAACCAGCTATCACCGTACCAAATTTTATCAAAATCCCTCCAGTGGTTTTTCTGTGATGCGGTAACAGACAGACAGACAGACAGACAAAAATTCTAAAAACTATAGATTCTGACTCTGTATCGATATTAATGTCTATTTCAATTGGATTTTCCAAAAAATATTTAATGTACAGATTCGACTTAGTTACAATTTTATTATATGTATAGATTAGAAAATAGTTATAAAACAGTCACAGTGTAAGATGCTTGTGTTACATTCTAACTAATGTGTTCCTTGTTCTTGAAAACAGATTACCTGCTTTAATTCAAAATTTATAGTTTACGATTATTTTATAGTATTTTATGTTCCATTTATTATTTTTCAAAAATATTTTTTTTTAATAAATAATGTATAGATAATAAAAAAATCTATCATAATGTCAATGTTCATTATCTTCAATTACATAAATATCTACTACAACCCGCGCAGCCTTCCTCTATGGATAAACCTTTTAAGATTTAAGCTATTTAAGGGCCCATTGTTATAATTAATTTAAATAGTTTTAAAAATCGAATTTAAAAAAATTAAGTTTTAAAAGACTATTTAAAATAAACAAATTATTTTTTTTGTAAAGTTAATTTAATCCCTCCATAACTGCGGACACGCCGGCGTTACTGTTAACAATAGATATCTTAGACATTTAATTAATTTCTTAGAAATTTACCTAGAGGTGTTAAAGCAGATTTGCCTCTATCTGTTTATTAGAATACGTGAAAAAGTGTCCATACGAAGTTGAGTGAGTTCGCTCATGCGCATCATGTTTCTTTCATATTTACAACGAACGACAAAACGACAAAAATGCAGTCTCATCTAAGATTAGGAAATATTATAAGATAGAATATATTATAGAATTAAAATGTTCATGTGTGCCTTTTTAAAATTAATTAGCGATTTTTACAATATAATATAATAATATATATTAATATTTTTAAGTACATACTACAGATAAAAAGTTAAGTTTTCATGATAGTGTACAGAGTTAAAGTTTAGTACGAGTGAGTACATGATTTTTTTTACTAAAATGTCATGAATGTCAACTAGAAAATTGAAAAACCCTCACGTTGCTTTAGAATAGCTCAGAGTAAACAACATTTTCAATTTAGTCGCATCGTTCAATGCCCGATTTTTTACGACCTAGTTAAAACAATGTTCATGTCTACATAAATGGGTTAAAATATTTACGTTTTATTTTTTCATGAGTGAATGTTTTGAAAGTCATTCGGCTGCTGATGGTTCATCAGTGGTTTATTCATCTATACTTATATTAATATACAGAGTTAAAGTTTGTGAGTTGGTGAGTTTGTGTGGTAAATTTGGTATGATGATAGCTGGTTATCCGGGTCAACATATAGGATACTTTTTACCGCGGGAAAATATCTCATTTCTGAGAAAAAATACAAGAGTAAGAGTAGAAAGAGAGTAAGAGTATACTAATATGTAAAACCTAAGAATTTGGGTTTTGGTCATCTGAACGCAGGCAGAGCCGCGGGCAATCCTAGTTTTACTATATTTAGACGCTATCTTGTAAATTTTATACACAAGACTAATTGAAAGCTAGTGTGAAATAAATTAATTTTATATCTAAGATAGAAGATTTTATAAATTAAAAACCTTTCTCCACACGAGGCTTGAGTTCCCCAAGGCATAAATCCAATCCGCTTCGCTTATCGGCCGCTTAAACAGATATGATCCACAACGTTTTAATAAAAAGGAAGTTTCACATAATTTTGTTTAAAAAATTCAAATTCAATAACATTAGTTAGTTGGGGGTAAAAGAGTAAAAGTACTTTACGATCTTTTATGTTAACTATTACCTACCGACCTATTCTCATATCTACCAAATATACAAAAAAACAATAAAATCAGTCGAGCCGTTCAGTTTTTTTTTTTCTCAGAAATTAGATATTTTCCAGCGGTAAAAAGTATTCTATATGTTGACCCGTATAACCAGCTATCACCATACCAAATTTCATCAAAATACCTCTAGTTGTTTTTCTGTGATGCGGTAACAGACAGACAGATAAATATTCTAAAAACTATAGATTCGGCCTCTGTATCGATATAGATTTAAATGAAAAGGTATGAACATATTAAAATTTTAAATTAAACAGAACCAATATCGCTTTCAAGTGTCATTAAATTTTAAGTAGCTTAAACGAGATCGTACATATTTTATAAGGAGCAATCAGGCCACCGTAATGCTCAGCTAATGCTAATTTAATAGCCAATCAGGAATGTTTTTCTTTGCCATTTAAATAGATATATTGACTTGTAGCTTTCAATGAAACATAACCATGTTAATTTCATTGAAAATTTTCAATATATAACCTTCTTGTGGATGACTTCTAATTAACTTTAACAATTATTATATACATGTTAAGTTAGCCTGTAATTGTGATATACTTTGTAACACTTTCTTATGTATAACTATAATAAGTTAAAAAATGTATTCTTAGTATATAACGTAGGCTTCCTAATAAATAAAATAAAATAAAATAAAATAAAATAAAATAAAATAAAATAAAATAAAATAAAATAAAATAAAATAAAATAAAATAAATAAAATAAAATAAACTTTAATGACAAAAATCTGAATTAGGTTTAGGAAGCAAGAAGTAAGTCATTTTTTCGTTTTCAATGTATAGTAAAGATTTTGTCAATTTAAATTGTATGTATGGCGGAACAAATGAACGTGTGCGGGAAAAGTGCCTCTAATATTGAAGTTATGAAGTTTTACTCACAGAAAACATTAAATAAATATGTTGGGACATTAACACACAGCACCATCTAGTTCCATGGTAAGCTACGAGGCTTGTGTTATGGATACTAGATAGTTGATACCCTACATATATATAACTTTA